AATTTTTGTCGATACATAGTAGGTATATAAATTATGGGGTATATGAGATATTTTGGTACATGTATACAATGCATAATCATATGAAAAATTCGGTATCCATCTGGTCAAGCATTTATCCTTGCTGTTCCAAATAGTCTAATTATACTCTTTCAGTTGTTTAAAAATGTACAATAGATTATTATTGACTATAGTCCCCTGTGGTGCTGTTAAATATTAGGTGTTATTCTTTCTTCTAACTATTATTTTGGTATCCCTTAACCATCCCCACCTTCACCCAACCCCCACTACTTTTCTCAGCCTCTGGTAACCATCCTTCTATTCTCCATCTCCATGAGCTCAATTGTTTTGATTTTTAGATCCCACAAATAAGTGAGAATGTGTGATGTTTGTCTTTCTGTGCCTGCTTTATTTTTATTAACATAAAGACTTCCAATTATATCCTTGATTTCATAAATGACAGTATCTTATTTTTTTTCCCTCTTTTTTTTCACATTTATCTTATTGCATTTTAGGTTTTGGGGTACATGTGAAGAACATGCAAGATTGTTGCATAGGTACACACGTGGCAGTGTGATTTGCTGCCTTCTTCCCCATCACCTACATCTGGCATGTCTCCCCTTGCTATCTCTCCCCAGCTTCCCACCCCCCACCCTCCCTCCCCTATTTCCCCCCAACTGACCCCAGTGTGTAGTGCTCCCCTCCCTGTGTCTATGTGTTCTCATTGTTCAACACCCGCCTATGAGTGAGAACATGCGGTGTTTGATCTTTTGCTCTTCTGTCAGTTTGCTGAGAATGATGGTTTCCAGGTTCATCCATGTCCCTACAAAGGACCCTAACTCATCGTTTTTGATGGCTGCATAATATTCCATGGTGTATATGTGCCACATTTTCCCTATCCAGTCTATCATCGATGGGCATTTGGGTTGGTTCCAGGTCTTTGCTATTGTAAACAGTGCTGCAATGAACATTCGTGTGCACGTGTCCTTATAGTAGAATGATTTGTAATCCTTTGGATATATACCCAGTAATGGGATTGCTGGGTCAAATGGAATTTCTATTTCTATGTCCACACTGTCTTCCACAATGGTTGAACTAATTTACACTCCCACCAACAGTGTAAAAGTGTTCCTATTTCTCCACATCCTCTCCAGCATCTGTTGTCTCCAGATTTTTTAATGATCGCCATTCTAACTGGCGTGAGATGGTGTCTCAATGTAGTTTTGATTTGCATTTCTCTGATGACCAGTGATGATGAGCATTTTTTCATATGTTTGTTAGCCTCACGTATGTCTTCTTTTGAGAAGTGTCTGTTCATATCCTTTGCCCACTTTTGAATGGGCTTGTTAGTTTTTTTCTTGTAAATCTGTTTTAGTTCTTTGTAAATTTTGGATATCAGCCCTTTGTCAGATGGGTAAACTGCAAAAATTTTTTCCCAATCTGTTGGTTGCCGATTCACTCTAATAATTGTTTCTTTTGCTGTGCAGAAGCTGTGGAGTTTGATTAGGTCCCATTTGTCTATTTTGGCTTTTGTTGCCAATGCTTTTAGTGTTTTGGTCATGAAGTCCTTGCCTACACCTATGTCCTGAATGGTTTTGCCTAGATTTTCTTCTAGGCTTTTTATGGTGTTAGGTCTTATGTTTAAGTCTTTAATCCATCTGGAGTTAATTTTAGTGTAAGGTGTCAGGAAGGGGTCTAGTTTCTGCTTTCTGCACATGGCTAGCCAGCTTTCCCAACACCATTTATTGAACAGGGAATCCTTTCCCCATTGCTTGTTTTTGACTGGTTTGTCAAAGATCAGATGGTTGTAGATATGTTGTGTTGCCTCCGAGACCTCTGTTCTGTTCCATTGGTCTATATCTCTGTTTTGGTACCAGTACCATGCTGTTTTGATTACTGTAGCCTTGTAGTATAGTTTGAAGTCTGGTAGTGTGATGCCCCCCGCTTTGTTCTTTTTGCTTAGAATTGACTTGGCTATGCGGGCTCTCTTTTGGTTCCATATGAAGTTTAAGGTGGTTTTTTTCCAGTTCTGTGAAGGTCATTGGTAGCTTGATGGGGAGATAGCATTGAATCTGTAAATTACTTTGGGCAGTATGGCCATTTTCACGATATTGATTCTTCCTAACCATGAACATGGAATGTTTCTCCATCTGTTTGTGTCCTCTCTTATTTCGTTGAGCAGTGGCTTGTAGTTCTCCTTGAAGAGGTCCTTTACATTCCTTGTTAGTTGTATTCCTAGGTATTTTATTCTCTTTGTGGCAAATGTGAATGGAAGTTTGTTCTTGATTTGGCTCTTTTTAAGTCTGTTATTGGTGTATAGGAATGCATGTGATTTTTGCACATTGATTTTGTATCCTGAGACTTTGCTGAACTTGCTTATGAGTTTCAGGAGGTTTGGGGCTGAGACGATGGGGTCTTCTAGATATACAGTCATGTCGTCTGCAAATAGAGACAATTTGACTTCCTCCTTTCCTATTTGAATACCCTTTATTTCTTTTTCTTGCCTGATTGCTCTGGCTAGAACTTCTAATACTATATTGAATAGCAGTGGTGAGAGCGGGCATCTTTGTCTGGTGCCAGATTTCAAGGGGAATGCTTCCAGTTTTTGCCCATTCAGTATAATATTGGCTGTTGTTTGTTGTAAATAGCTTTTATTATTTTGAGATACGTTCCATCAATACCTAGCTTATTGAGGGTTTTTAGCATAAAGAGCTGTTGAATTTTGTCAAAGGCCTTCTCTGCATCAATTGAGATAATCATGTGGTTTTTGTCTTTGGTTCTGTTTATGTGGTGAATTACGTTTATAGACTTGCATATGTTGAACCAGCCTTGCATCCCTGGAATGAAGCCTATTTGATCATGGTGGATAAGGTTTTTGATGTGCTGTTGCAATCAGCTTGTCAGTATTTTATTGAAGATTTTTGCATCTATGTCATCATGGATATTGGCCTGAAGTTTTCTTTTCTTGTTGAGTCTCTGCCGGGTTTTCGAATCAGGATGATGTTGGTCTCATAAAATGATTTGGGAAGAATTTCCTCTTTTTGTGTTGTTTGGAATAGTTTCAGAAGGAATGGTACAAGCTCCTCTTTGTATTTCTGGTAGAATTCGGCTGTGAACCCATCTGGACATGGACTTTTTTTTGGGTGGTAAGCTCTTAATTGCTGCCTCAACTTCAGATCTTGTTATGGGTCTGTTCAGGGTTTCGGCTTCTTCCTGGTTTAGGCTTGGGAGGAGGCAAGTGTCCAGGAATTTATCCATTTCTTCCAGGTTTACTAGTTTATGTGCATAGAGTTGTTTGTAATACTCTCTGATGATGGTTTGAATTTCTGTGGAATCTGTGGTGATATCCCCTTGATCGTTTTTTATTGCATCAATTTGGTTATTCTCTCTTTTCTTTTTTATTAATCTGGCTAGTGGTCTATTTTGTTGATCTTTTCAAAAAACCAGCTCCTGGATTTGATTTTTTTGAAGGGTTTTTTGTGCCTCTTTCTCCTTCAGTTCTGCTCTGATCTTAGCTATTTCTTGTCTTCTGCTAGACTTTGAGGTTTTTTTTTTTATCTTGCTCCTCTAGCTCCTTCAGTTTTGGCGATAGGGTGTCAATTTTTGATCTCTCCTTGCTTCTCATGTGGGCACTCATTGCTATATATTTTTCTCTAGAGACTGCTTTAAATGTGTCCCAGAGGTTCTGGTATGTTGTGTCTTCATTCTCGCCTGTTTCGAAGAACATCTTTATTTCTGTCTTCATTTCATTGTTTATCCAGTCAACATTCAAGAGCAAGTTGTTCAGTTTCCATGAAGCTGTGCAGTCTGGGTTAGTTTTTGAATTCTGAGTTCCAACTTGATTGCACTGTGAGACTGAGAGACTGTTTGTTATGATTTCCGTTCTTTTGCATTTGCTGAGGAGTGATTTACTCCCAATTATGTGGTCAATTTTAGAGTAGGTATGATGTGGTACTGAGAAGAATGTATATTCTCTGGATTTGGGGTGGAGAGTTTTGTAAATGTCTATTAGGCTTGCTTGGTCCAGGTCTGAGTTCAAGTCCTGGATATCCTTGTTAATTTTCTGTCTGGTTGATCTGTCTAATGTTGACAATGGGGTGTTAAAGTCTCCCACTATTATTGTGTGGGAGTCTAAGTCTCTTTGTAAGTCATTAAGAACTTGCCTTATGTATCTGGGTGCTCCTGTATTGGGTGCGTGTATATTTAGGATTGTTAGCTCTTCTTGTTGCATTGATCCTTTTACCATTATGTAATGTCCCTCTTTGTCTCTTATGATCTTTGTTCCTTTAAAGTCTAATTTATCAGAGATGAGAATTGCAACTCCTGCTTTTTTTTGCTCTCCATTTGCTTGGTAAATCTTCCTCCATCCCTTTATTTTGAGCCTTTGTGTATCCTTGCATGTGAGATGGGTTTCCTGGATACAGCACACTGATGGGTTTTGTCTTTTTATCCAATTTGCCAGTCTGTGTCTTTTGATTGGGGCATTTAGTCCATTTACATTTAGGGCTAATATTGTTATGTGTAAATTTGATACTGCCATTTTGATGCTAGCTGGCTGTTTTGTTTGTTAGTTGATGCAGATTCTTGATTGTGTTGATTGGTGAATCTGATGATTATGTGCCTTGGGGTTGCTCTTCTTGAGGAATATCTTTGTGGTGTTCTCTGTATTTCCTGGACTTGAATATTGGCCTGCCTTGCTAGGTTGGGGAAGTTTTCCTGGATAATATCCTGAAGAGTATTTTCCAGTTTGGATTCATTCTCTTTGTCACATTCAGGTACACCTATCAAACGTAGATTAAGTCTTTTCACATAGTCCCACATTTCTTGGAGACTTTGTTCATTCCTTTTAACATTTTTTTCTCTATTCTTGCCTTCTCATTTTATTTCATTGAGTTGAACTTTGACCTCTGTTATCCTTTCTTCTGCTTGGTCAATTCGGCTGTTGAAACTTGTGCATGCTTCGCGAAGTTCTCGTGTTGTGTTTCTCAGCTCCATCAATTCACTTATATTCCTCTCTATGTTGTCCATTCTCGTTAGCATTTCGTCAGATCTTTTTTCAAGGTTCTTAGTTTCTTTGCATTGGGTTAGAACACATTCTTTTAGCTCACTGTAGTTTCTTATTACTCACCTTCTGAAGTCTGATCCTGTCATTTTTCACACTCGTTCTCCATCCAGCCTTGTTCCCTTGCTGGTGAGGAGTTGTGATCCCTTTTAGGAGGAGAGGTGTTCTGGTTTCGGGTGTTTTCATCCTTTTTGCGCTGGTTTCTTCCCATCTTTGTGAATTTATCCACCTGTTGTCTTTGTAGTTATTGACTTTCAGATTGGGTCTCTGAGTGAACTTCCAGTTTGTGGATGCTGAAGTTACTTCTTTTTCTTAGCTTTCCTTCTAACAGTCTGGCCCCTCTGCTGTAGGACTGCTGAGGTCCACTCCAGGCCCTGCTTACCTGGGGATCACCTGCAGCAGCCTCCGAGCTTTTACTTGGAGCTGCAATCCTGAGCTGTTCCTAAACGGCCATCTTGGATCCCGGATCAGTATCTTATTTTTTTTTTATGACTGAATAGTACTCCACTGTGTATATGTACCACATTTTTAAAATCCATTTATCTGTTGATGGACATTTAGGCAGCTTCCAAATCTTAGCTATTGTAAACAGTGCTGCAACAAACAAAAGAGTGCAGATATATCGTTGATGTTAATGACTTCCTTTTTTTTTTTTTTTTTTTTTTTTTTGAGATGGAGACTCACTTTGTCACCAGGCTGGAGTGTGGGGTGCCATCTTGGCTCACTGCAACCTCTAACTCCGTGGTTCAAGCAATTCTTCTGCCTCAGCCCCTCAAACAGCTGGAATTACAGGCATGTGGCCCCACACTCAGCTAATTTTTATATTTTTAGTAGAGACAGGGTTTCACCGTGTTGGACAGGCTGGTCTCGATCTCCTGACCTCGTGATCTGCCCCCTTCAGACTCCCAAAGTGCAAGGATTACAGGCGTGAGCCACCATGCCCAGCCATGACTTCCTTTCTTTTGGGTATATACCTAGCAGTGGGATTACTAAATCATATGGTAGCTTTATTTTTATTTTTTTTTTGAGGAACCTCAAAAATGTTTTTCTATAGTAGTTGTACTAATTTACATTCTCATCAACAACGTACAATATTTTTCTTTTCTTCACATCCTTACCAGCATTTGTTATTGCCTGACTTTTGGATAAAAGACATTTTAACTGGGGGAAGATTATATCTCATTGTAGTTTTGATTTATATTTATTTCATGATCAATGATGTTGAGCACCTTTTTATATACCTGCTTCCTGTTTATATTTCTTTTGAGAAATACCTATTCAAATCTTGCTTATTTTTATAATCAGATTATTAGATTATTTCCCTATACAGTTTTTCATGCTCCTTATATATTCTGATTATTAATCCCTTGTCACTTGAGCAGTTTGCAAATATTTTCTCCCATTCTGTGGGTTGTTTCTTCAGTTTGTTCATTGTTTGCTGTGCAGAAACTTTTTAAGTTGATGTGAATCCCCTTTGTCCATTTTTGCTTTGGTGGCCTGTGCTTGTGGGACATGATTTAAATTGCCTAGCCCAATGTCCTGGAGAGTTTCCCCAATGTTTTCTTGTAGTCGTTCATAGTTTATGGTCTCAGTTTTAAGTCTTTAATCCATTTCAAGTTTTATTTTACTATATGGTGAGAGATAGGAGTCTAGTTTCATTCTTCTGCATATAGATAATCCAGTTTTTCTGGCATCATTTATTTAAGAGGCTGTCTTTTTTCCTCAATGCATGTTCTTGGCAACTTTGTCAAAAATGAGTTAACTGTAGGTTAGATTACATGAATTGTAGGGCCCCCTCTGGGTCTGCTTTGGAACAGAGATCGGCAAGCTCATTAGAGAGTTGCAGACTCCAAGGCTGTAAGATATGGATGAGTCTTCCTCTGGATTCTGGTGTGAGCAGCTCTGAGCTGGAACCCCAGTTGAGGGGGGCTTGGAGCCAAGATATAGGGCAACTTTCAGATTCACTGCTGAGACCAATTGTAGTGGGCAAATGAGCCTTTCTGCCAAACTATTAATGTGTACAATTCTTTCTGGACCTCTTGGCAGATGGTTTTTGTTATAGGCTCAGGGCTAAACAGGGCTGTACTCAAGCCTCTTATGGGACTAGACGTTTCTTGGCTTGAACCCAGGAGAAAGCTCAGTGAATCAGCCAACTGTGTTTCAGTTTGTACTCTCAAAATGACACTCCAATGTCTTGGGCTTCACTGGAGTTTAACAAATTCCTACTTGAATCCTGAGGCTCTCAGAGAGACATTTTTGATAGTAGATGGTTGCAGAGTTCTTGTTTTTATAAAAGGATATGAACAGGTTACCTTCTATTCTGCCATTTGGGTGATGTTGCATTGTTGTCTTACTTTAATAAATTGCCCCTGCCATCCTAACCTTCAGCAATTACTCACCTTGATCAGCCAGCAGACATCAGCATGGAGACAAAACCCTCCTTAATAATAAAGTATTTTTAATTAAGATATATACATTGGTTTTTAGACATAATGCTATTTAACACTTAATAGACTATAATATAATATAAACATAATTTTTATATGCCCTGGAAAACCCAAAAACTTGTGTGACTTGTTTTATTGCAAAATTCATTTTGTTGTAGTGGTCTGGAGTTAAACTCACAAAATCTCTGAGGCAGGTTGTTAATATGACCCATATTTACTTTTCTCTCTCTTTCTCCCATTTTTACAAGTTGAAATCACAACCATCCTCTTATTTCACATGCCATATCTTCAGTCTTTAATGTTGTCTTTTGCTCTTCCTTGTGTTTCTGTGATTTCTTTTTGTATATCTTTGTAGTGAAAAATGTAACCTAGACGTGGGTTTACTTTGTGTGCCACTCTGCTTTCTTTTTAGGCTAACCTTTAGTAGTAGGTCTCCAGATTTCCTGGTTTCCACCTCTTGGCTAGTCTCTTACTACCACAATGTAGGAATCATAAAGTAACATTTAATTAACATTTCATGGTGTTAAAGTTCTATCTTCTGCTCTATAATACAAACCTCCACTGAGGCATGAGTATATCCTAGAGCACAAAAAGAAAATTACATTAATTGTTTTTTAATATATTATCCTACCACCCTGGTGTAGAGTACATGCTCAAAAAATGCTCACTGAAAGGAGGAATCTAATAGAGTTTAATTGACCTTGTAAATATGTCTTTTAGAAATTTGGTCTGATCCAGCATCATACTGCTTGGGCAAAAGCTAAAGCCGTTACCCTTGAGAACTGGAACAACACAAGGAAGCCTACTCTTACCACTTCTATTCAACATAGTACTAGCCAGAGCCATCAGCTAAGAGAAATAAATAAAAGGCATCCAGATAGGGGGAAAAAAAAGTCAAACTATCTCTGCCAATAATATAATTCCATACCTAGAAAATCCTGATGACTCTTCCAAAAGGCTCCTAGAACTGACAATCTACTTCAGGAAAGTTTTAGGGTACAAAACTGATCTACAAAAATTAGTAGCATTTCTTTTTTACACAAAAGGGTTCTAGCTGAGAGTCAAATCAAGAACACAGTCACATTTACAATAGCCACAAAAAATGAAGTACCTAAGAATGCTGCTAACCAAAAAGCTGAAAGCTCTCTACATGCAAAACTACAAAACACTGCTGAAAGAAATCAGATTACACAAATAAATTCAAAAATATCCCATACTTACGGATTGGAAGACTCAATATTGTTAAAATGGCCAGCCTGTTCAAATTAATTTACAGATTCAATGCTATTCCTATCAAACTACCAACATCATTTTTCACAGAAATAGAAAAAACTGTTCTAAATTTTATATAGAACTAAAAAAGAATCTGAATAGCCAAAGTAATCCTAAGCCAACAAAAAATATGGGCCAGAGATATCATATGACATCAAACTATTCTACAAGACTACAGTAACCAAAACAGCATAGTGCTGGTACAAAAACAGTCACACAGATCAGTGGAACAGAATAGAGAACAGAAAAATAAAGCCAAATACCTACAGTCATCTGATCTTTGACAAAGTCAACAAAAATAAGCAATGGGGAAAGGACTCCCTAGTCAATAAATGGTGCTGGAATAACTGGCTAGTCATATGCAGAAGAATGAAACTGGACCCTTGTCTTTCACCATATACAAAAGTTAACTCAGGATCAACTAATGCTTTAAATGCAGGGTCTCAAAAAATAACCTAGAAGAAAAATCTAGGAAATACCCTCTTCAACGTTGGCTTTGGCGAATATTTTGTGAATAAGTCCTCAAAAGCAATTGAAACAAAAACAAAAATTGAGAGTGAGGCCTAATTAAAAAGCTTCTGCACAGCAAAAGAAATTGTAAATGATTAAACAGGCAACCCATAGAATGGAAAAAATATTTGCAAAGTATGAATTTGACAAAGGTCTGATATCCAGAATTTGTAAGAAACTGCAATCAACAAGCAAAAGCCAAATAATGTCCAATTAAAAATGGGCAAAAGACATGAGCAGACACTTTTAAAATTAAGACATACAAGAAGCCAACAAACATATGAAAAAGTGCTCATCATCAGTAATCATCAGAGAAATGCAAATCAAAACCACAATGGGGGCTGGGCGCCGTGGCTCACGCCTGTAATCCCAGCACTTTGGGAGGCCGAGGCGGGTGGATCACGAGGTCAAGAGATCGAGACCATCCTGGTCAACATGGTGAAACCCCGTCTCTACTAAAAATACAAAAAATTAGCTGGGCATAGTGGTGTGTGCCTGTAATCCCAGCTACAGAGGAGGCTGAGGCAGGAGAATTGCCTGAACCCAGGAGGTGGAGGTTGTGGTGAGCCGAGATCGCGCCATTGCACTCCAGCCTGGGTAACAAGAGCGAAACTCCGTCTCAAAAAACAAAAACAAACAAACAAACAAAAAAACACCACAATGGGAGATACATCTCATGCAACTCAGAATGAGAATCATTAAAAAGTCAAAAAAACAACAGATGCTAGGGAGGCTGCAGAGAAAATACACACTGTGAGGGAGAATGCAAATTAGTTCAGCCACCGTGGAAAGCAATTTTGAAACTTCTCAAAGAACTTAAAAAAGAACTACTATTCAAACCAGAAATCCCGTTACTGACTATATACCCAAAGGAAATAAATTATTCTACCAAAAAGATACATGTTCTTGCATGTTCATCACAGCACTATTCACAATAGCAAAGACAGAGTAAACCTAGCTGCCCATCAACAGTGGATTGGAATCACAAAATGTAGTGTGTGTATATATATATGTATATATACCATGGAATAATATGCAGCCATAAAAAAGAAAATCGTGTTTTTTTGCAGCAACGTGGACGCAGCTGGAGGCTATTAAGAAAATTACACGGAAACAGAAAACAAAGGCTTTATGTTCTCATTTAAAAGTGGAAGTAAAAACTGAGTACACATTGCAGTGAAGGATGGCAACAGTAGACACTAGAGGAGAAAGAAAGGGAAGTGGTTGTGAGCTGGAAAATTACTTATTGGGTATTACGCTCACTACCTGGGTCATGGGATCACCTATGCTCTGTATCTCAGAAAACCATGTAGCTCAATACACTCATGTAAAAAACCTACACATGTACCCTCTGAATCCAAATTAAATGTTGAAAAAGAATAAATTTGGCGTGAGATATTTTCAAATTATTTTTAGTTATGTAACTAATATGAGTATGTCCTCACTATAAGAACTTAGGAAAAGGAACAATAACTTCCTTTGATTATCTTTTCTATCTTTGTTCTTATTATTTCTTTTCTTGCCTTATATTAGGCAAAAACTCAACTACAATGTTGAATAGTAGCACTGGTACATGATATCTGACATCTTTTAATGGATGCCAACTTAATGAGAATTGTCCTAAAATTTCATCAAGATGTTGAAGTAGCTTTTGATTGGATATATTCTTGAATACATTTGCTAAAGTTATAAATGAGTGTTGTATTTTATTGAATGTACTTTTACATGTATTGATATGATTAGTAATTTTTTTTTTTTTTTTTTTTTTGGCTTGAGGCTGGGAGATTGAGGCTGCAGTGAGCCATGGTCGCACCACTGTTCTCTAGCCTGAGTGATAGAGCATCTCAAAAAAAGGTAGATTTATTTATTTTCTTTATTTATATTTTATTATACTGTAAGGTCTGGGGTACATGTGCAGATCATGCAGGATTGTTACATAGGTATACACATGCCATGGTGGTTTGCTGCACCCATCCCCCAATCACCTGCATTAGGTATTTCTCCTAATGTTACCCCTCCCCAATCCCTCCACCGACTGCTATCCCTCCCCTAGGCCTCCCCCCATCCCCCAACTGGCCCCCATGTGTTCTCATTGTTCAACACTCACTTATGAGTGAGAACATGTGGTGCTGGGTTTTCTGTTCTTGTGTTAGTTTGCTGAGAATGATGGTTTCCAGCTTCATCCTTGTCCCTGCAAAGGACACAAACTCATCATTTTTTATGGCTGCATAGTATTCCATGGTGTATATGTGCCACATTTTCTTGATCCAGTCTATCATTAATGGGCATTTGGATTGGTCCCAAGTCTTTGCTATTATAAACAGTGCTGCAGTGAACTTATGTGTGCATGTGTCTTTATAGTAGAATTATTTATAATCCTTTGGGTATATACCCAGTAATGGGATTGCTGGGTCCAATGGTATATATATTTCTAGAACCTTGAGGAATCACCACACTGTCTTCCACAATGCTTGAACTAATTCACACTCCCACCAACAATGTAAAAGCGTTCCTATTTCTCCACATCCTCTCCAGCATCTGTTGTCTCCAGATTTTTTAATGATCACCATTCTAACTGGACTGAGATGGGTATCTCAATGTGGTTTTGATTTGCATTTCTCTAATGACCAGTGAAAAAGAGTGTGTTTTTTGTTAATTTGTGAATATAGTAACTTATAAGAGATGGATTGTCTAATTTATCCCTTCTTCACTTTTCTATGTGAAGTCCTACTTTGACACTTTGACACAATGAATTATTCTATTATATACTTCTGAATTTAGTTGGAAGTTTCAAGAGTTAAAATTTTTCTGCTGTTGCTTAACTAGCCCCATAATTGTGTAAGGTCAAATCTTTATAATCTCTTATTATGTATGTCTCCTAGGAGGTCTGCTTCTCTGATCTCTGAGTAATACAGTTATTCTCCTTGTGTCTTTATACAATGTCCCACTAACAAAAGGAATGCAATCATTGTGCTCCATATCACCCGAACTACAGTGACTTTGTCGGAGTCACACTCTTGGTTATTTATGGAGCTAGGACTCAAGTCCACTATTTCTGAGTCTGTGTTCTTTCAGAAGGATTATGTTATTTTCCTTAAATTGAGGGAAATCAGAAGTGTCTCAGCTCATTAAAATGCCTTTCCTAAACATTTCCTTCCATGAAGCGCTAATGGTAATAACTATTTTTATCAATGACATGGCTTCTGAGACAACCACAAAGTATTTTTATTTTTCAGATTGCCCTGATGACCTAATTGTTGTCTAGTGTCATCATAGCCATGTCAAAAATGGCCAATATGAAAGCAAAATGAACACTTTGTTCTGCTTCCATCATAAATAAAGATGTATATTATGTTTTAGAATGAGATAAGCCAAAAATAACGGGGTCACCCTATCTAATTCTGGTCCCTAAAATAAATGAAACCTTGGGCCTTTCC